GTCTATTTGGCCCTCATCTCTGGAGTGATTGTTGCTGGAACCTCTGGTACAGTGTTTGAGTGGCTTATGAGTAGTGCTCAGACCATTGGAGGGTATACCTGAGAATTTTTTTTAAAGTTGTCATAAAATGCAAAAGATTGGATAAATTGAGTACGTTAAGACATTCAATCCATAAATTGTGGATTACATTGAGTAGAATGAGAATTTCAGAGTACTTCTTTGTGCTCATGTAGAACCTATATATAGCCTAAGAAACAACCCTTATGTTTGAAGGTCTCATCTCTGTTTTACTAACCCTCCACCTTTCCAAGCATGATGTCCCTCTTCAAGGAGACAGCCTTTCCTAACAACATGCCCACAGTATATGAGGTGATGCTTTGTAGTCCTTGCCTCCAAGGAGCCCTCTGATTGTTCTTTCTCTAAGACATACCTGTTTGTTCTTTTGGCAGCCCATGAAATATTCCATACTCTTCTACAAAACCACAGCTCAGACTCATCAGTCTTGAAGGTTTTTTCATCTTTATTCATTGTCCAGTTCTCAGATCCATAGCAAGTGATTGAAAAGACCATGGCCTGAATCAGGTACATCTTATTCTTGAAACTGGCATCATAGGTCCTCAGTAATTTGGAGAGGTTCCTGACTGCAGACTTTGCCAATGCAGTTTTTCTTCTGATTGCTGGTACTACTGATAGCAAACCATAAAAACAAGCAAGCCAGCAGTTGTTGGCAGAACCTGACTGACCTCCTGACTTCTGGTAAGGATGACTGTCAGAGGATTAAAGATTCAGTATGGATCAGATCTCAACATCCAGAAAAGAAAAGTACTCACCACCGGGCTAATAGGCAGCATCATGATAGATGGAGAAAAGATTGAAAATGTCAACGATTTCATCTCACTTGGATCCACTGTCAGCATGCTTGGAGATCAGTCAGGAGATCAGGAGATGTATGTTCTTGTTGTTATGTGCCATTGAGTTGCCTGCAACTCATAGTGACCCTGTGTACAACAGCACTAAACCCTGCCCTATCCTGTGCCAATCTCACTGTCTCTGATACACCTACCCCCATTACCCCAGTCACTGAATCAATCCATCTCATCGAGGGTCCTCCTCTCCTGTCCTGTCCCTCCACCCTCCCAAGCATGACATCCTTCTCCAAGGACTGGTCCCTCCTTGCAGCATGTCCAAAGTATATCAGACAAAGCTTCAGAATCCTTACCTCCAAGGAACAGCCTGGCTTCACCCTCTCCAGGAAAAACCTGTTCGTTTTCTTAGTAATCCATGGTGTATTCAATACTTTTCTCCAACACCACAGCTCAAAGGTATCAGTTCTTCTTCTA